ATGTATGTATGTATACACACATACACGCACCTTGTATATGTATCGCAGACTTATGCATGGACACCCATGCGTCTGTGTCTCTATGTACACCGTATAAGCCGAGAGGCTGCATGGCGACATAAGTACCATTAGTAGCTGCAAAGGCTGTATGGAGAGCTCGACTTCGACAGGCTTGTACAGGGGCTGTCCAATGCTAGGGCTAAGACCCAGTAATATAGAGCGTCGGGATTTCGATAAACTGCTACTAGAGAGAGTGTAAGCAGTCTGGATACTACATAATGAACGCCATTCTTCCTTTCAGTCTTGCTACTATGATTGCTGTCATTCTCACGGTGCCCCTAGCCTCTGAACCGACGATGCCGAGATTGGAGGCCACAGCCACACCCACCCTACACTCGGAGAGGGTAGCAACAAGCCATGTGCAATGTGCAGGCTCCAACTTGTGCCATCTGATACTTCCTAAATTAAACCCTAAACCGCTTGAGCGTGAACCATGAGCCCTAAACTCCAAGCCTATAACGGGCAATGAGTTTCTGCCTGCCAGAACGAGAGCTCGAAGGAGAAGATCGTGTCGTTCGTATCCTAAGTGGGTGCTTGCATTGCACGGTTTAGGGGTTTGGGGTTACGGGGCTCAGGGTTCAGGGTTTGGGAACTTCACATCGTTCACGCGCTGTTGAACAGGGTCAGGGTGTAGGGTTTAAGGAGTAGGATTTTGAGGTCCCACATCTCGCTAGAGAGTTCCTTGACTCGAGAAGCCTTAACGCCAGTCCAGACGGGCCTAATGATTTATATTGGTGCTGATGTGACGGCGACGCTGATGATGCCTTACTGCCAAAACTATGTTGTCTTGTTGGGGGGCCTTCCCCTAGAAGCGCAGATACCTACACAGTGGGTGATTGTCCCTTAGGCCGCGTATATTTTGACTGTTTGGTGTAGTACAGTAGCCACATCCCAGTGACCCACTGCGCAGGTACCCGGCAAATAAAACCCTCGTCTGTAAAGCGCTTCTGACGCCCAGTAAGACACCGTCCTCCACTTGCTAGAATATACAGGGCCTTGGTTGCTAGAATAAGGTCTCGGGATACATTATACTGCAATGATAAGGATTATACATAGGTTTTTTATGGGCAGCTGCCAACTATGTCGTCCCCTATACCCTCTGAACCCCCAAACCGCCGTCATAATGACCTTACAGCAACCTTCATAGCAAACCTTATAAGTTACCCTCATAGCAACCTGCAGGAGCCCTGCCAGAAGAAAGCCTTAAAGGAACCCTTTTTACAGTGTAACCTTAAACCCTAAACCCGATAAACCCAAAGCCCTAAACCCCGAAGCCCCTAAACCCTAAACCCCATAAACC